TAGCAAGCTAGTATAAATACTAATGCTCTAGGGTAAAAGCGTGTAAGTATCTTAAGAACACGTTATAAACGTGTTCTTATTATGTTATTAATAACGCATTGTATAATTAGATCTAAACCTTAAAAAGTGCAGTACCTAAGAAAATTCTATAAAGAGAACTATAAACAAGAAGCTATTATTATAGCCTTATTAAGCGCTTCTCTTTAAGGATTTGTAAGGACTACTAGGTATCTTATTATCCTGTAATAAGGACTATAGTAAATCAGGTAGGGAGCAAAACTTAAACATGTTTAAAACGTGTTAATAATAAGTTAGCAAATTGTGGAACAGGCTTAACTATACATTAGCTATTAGAACTACAGCCTAATATCTGCTACTAGGAAAAAACATTATTTTAGTTAGGTACTACTAGAGGTAGACTCTACATATCTACAAGGTCTTCTAACTAGGGAGATATTAAATCTTTCTAGTAGTCCTGCTTTATATTCTGTAGTTAAGCCACAGTTAAGCTAGATAAAGAAGTGTAGTAGGCATATTGCAACCTATTCCTAACATATTCCTAACATGTTCTAGGCGTTAATTATCCATAAGGGCAAGGATCTCTATTTAAAATCCTGTGTAAAGTTACCTTCTAAGTAATTATACTAATAGATATAGTAGCAATACCTTTTTTTACTATTATTTCTTTTAGTATATATACACATATACCTCCTCCTCCCTTAACACTATCTAATAGTAATATTAAGGAAGTAGTAAAGGTGTTGTGGCCTATACTTACTCTACAGCTTACGCAATATAAGTTATTTACAACCTATTATAAATGTGTTCCTAACTTGTTATAGCCTAGTTCCTAAACTTAACCTAGCTCTAAACCTATCTCTAACTTAAAGGTTTCTATTCTATTAAAGAAATATATATTAGCTTTATAAATAAAGATAAAATCTCGCGTATTATAAAGCGTAAAAAGCTTCTACAGTTCCTATTTAAGAGTAGCCTTAGAGGAGTACACTATAAGTAGAGGATAAAGCATTAGGATCCTAAAACTATACGTGGTGTAAGAGAACAGGTTTAGAACACGTTGTTAACACGTTACTATAGGCGTACATATAGCAAATCTTTATATTAAGCTTAGGCAACTTAATTATTTGCCTTTTTAAAGAGCAGGCATTAATTCTATTAGATTAAGACACGTTCTAGATAGATATGTTATATAAGAGGTTGTATAGGGTATAGGTAGAGATTCTAATAGTAATCTTCTACCTATAGGAAAAGAAGCGTACGCATTAAGAATAGGTTTATAACATGTTTCTAACACGTTGCAGTTATTACACTTAGCTAAATTATTATAGACAAGGACACAACTAAGATATATTAAGTTGCTATTACTAACTTCTTTTAGAAGTGTAAAGCACTTATAAAAAGATAAGTGTTATAGAGGCATATTTACTTACAGGGATTCTATAGGACTACTATTAACATATATAATAAGTAGATAATAGGCAAGTTTTATGGCGCACTGCAACATGTTTGTAATGTGTTTCTAACTTGTTTCTAGGACTTAGGCGCTATCTCTAGTTAATTAATCCCTATAAGCGTAACTAGCGCTAGCAACTTTAATCTTATATAAGATTTTGTTAAGTATATCTACAAAGAAGTATTTACAAAGTATGTAAAAGAGAGCTAGATAATACTACCTCTTTACGTCTAAGTGAATTACTACAGGCATTAATAGCAGAGGAATACTTTTAGCTTGCTAACCTCCTCTTACGTAAGTAAACATATTCTAAACCTGTTCTAAACGTGTTCTTAACTTGTTCTTACATAATTAGAACACGAACCCTCTAAAGATGCCTAAAACTAGGCAATCTATAAGAAAAACCTAGTAATTGCTGCTAGGATTGTGCAATACTATAGTAAAATATTAAAAGAGGTATAGGAAAAACTAGAATCTTATTTAAATGTAGCTAAGCAAGCAGGCTAGAAAGGATATAAAACTAGTAAGCATGTAAGTATTCTTAAGGCTACTTAGAAGTAAGTTTACAACCTATTCTTAACCTATTAGAATTGTATAAGTAATATTGTGTAGTGTACACTAGATAGATCTGCAGGATATAAAAGAGTTTAAAGCCTAGAGCAAGTTTAGAATATGCTATAACTATAGAACTCCTAATAGGCTTAAGCAAAGGTACCTTAAAAAGCTTTAGAGGGGAGAAAGTAAGTCTTACGCTAGCGTTATACACATTCGCTAATTAAAACGTGTTTAGAACGTGTTTAGAACGCGTCCTACAATAATAATAATACTCTAGATAATAATAAAGCAAGTCTTGCTATATCTAACTTAACTAGATATATCTTAGTCCTAATAAGAAATAAAAGAGCACGCTTAAAAGCCTAAAGCTAGAGGGCAAGTAGTAGAGCGGTATTAGAAAGAAGTTCACTAGCCCCTTTTCTATCTTCTCTACTACTAGGCTCTTCTCCTCTACTAATAGTAACCTAAAGGTATGCTTTGCAAAACACGTTTATAACACGTTCCTAACTTGTTATTAGTCTGTAACTATAAACTTTACAACAAAAGGCTCTTCTTAGTAATTAGGCTCTAAAGAAGAGAAAAGAAAAGCTAGAGGTAGATAAGGAAGAACTTGCATAGAAAAAGGCACTATTTAAATTACAAAAGGCATAGTTTAAACTTAAGAAAGAGATAGCTGCTTTTTATACAAGGCAGGGTTAGTCTATAAATATAGTAACTAGTTCCTAACTAGTTCTTAATATATTCTAGTCTATCACGTAAGCATATATAAGCGGATAAATATATATTCTTTCTTCTTCTCTTTCTTCTTCTTTCTTCTTACACTCTACAAGAACTTTTTATATTTAAGAGTTTAATACTATTTTACTATCTATCTTTCCTAATATTATTAGATATAACTAGTTAATATAGTCTATAAAGATCTTTTAAAGTTAGTATGTAATAGAACGCGTTAGGAACACGTTGTAAACTTGTTCTAACACTAAGTAGGATTTATACCAGCGATATATTAAGCTTAAGTTACTTCTATCTAATACTAGGGTATTCTCTCCTGTAATATCCTACCTAAATAATAGGTGTATAGTATTTCCTAGCAAGCTTTTCTACTAGGCTATTTAGGCTAGATTAGGGGTATAGGAACTTTGTGGAGTATATATATATGCGAGTTAGAACACGTTTATAACATATTAATAACTATTTTAGCGTTGCTTCTCTAATAGAGGCAATCTTATCTACTACCTTAAGAGGTATTATCCTAAGGTTTAAATAGCCCTAGTAAACTGTGGCAGAACCACAATACAAGGCACTATAGAAGCAAGGATCTTCTATAGGAGCTTAATAGTAAATGCTTAAGAACGTGTTCTAAACACGTTAATAATACATTCTCTACTAGTAGAGCAGACTACACTAAGTGCCTCCTCTAAGGTTTAAGAACCCTCTAAGATAGCTAGTCTATAACAAGAAGTAGTAGCTAGAGTAGAGGCTAAAGAGGAAGCAGAGAGTAAAGAAGAGGAGTAAATAGTTGCTCCCCTTTATACTGTAAATAATATTTAGCAAAAGTAGCAAAAAGGAGATATAAGTCTAGTCTCTTAAAACACGTTTAGAATATATTAATAATACGTTATAGCTAGACACCTATAAATACTAGATTCTTCTTTAATCTAAGGGACTACTAGAGCTTTATAATACCTATAAAAGTTAAAAGAAAAAGTTATATACTATTAAAGGACCCTATAAAAGTAAATAGTACTTTACTTTTAGTAGATAGAAAAAAAAAGAGAAGAGTAGAGAGTTTATTTTAGTAATTACTACTACCTCTTTAGGTTATATGCTATTATATATTGTTTATTAGAACCTATTCTTAACACGTTCTTAACGTGTTCCTACTTGTTACTATTATTATCTCCCTCCCCCTCTCTAGTATCTTCTCTATCCTCCCTAGGCTCTACAAAAGCATACCGCAAGTGGAACTAGGCGGCATTCTAGCAGGAATTAGCAAGGTCCACACTAGTATTAAAGTAATAGTCTTAAAACACGTTAGGAATAGGTTAATAATATATTGTGAATAACTTACTATAGCTAGGATAATCATAAGCGTAGATAGTATAAGGAACCTAATAACCTTAAATCCTTAGTAGGGTAGATATAGTAACAAAGTTAAGCTATAACAAGTTAGCAACGTGTTTTTAATAGGTTCTTATAGGCTGTACCTTATTACTATTACAGCTACTGCAAGTCTTCTTCCAAATTATATTTAGGAGGGTATTAGTATTTATAGGGGGGCCTATAGTAGCTACTAGCTAGGCTTAGAGAACTTCTATAAAACACGTTAGTAATAAGTTTTAAATATATTCTAAATAACTTATAGCAAGGAGTATTCTAGTAATTATATATAACCTTTATATAGAAGTCTATATATATTAGTATAATAAGTTAAGAATAGGTTAATAATATATTTACTCTTTGCCTTGTAGACCTCTGTTATAGAGGGCTAGCTAGTCTTCTTAACCCTACTAACCTTATAGTAGGCTATATTAAGCCTATAATCTTTTTTAGTATAGGTATACAGAGTGCCCCTAGTACCTAGAATAGCCTAAGAATATTAGAACCTATTTAGAACACGTTTAGAACCTATTCTTACTCTGTATAAGGTGCCCTTATTGTTAATCTTAGTATAGTAGTAGCGCTCTCTACTCTCTATCTTAACTGCCCTATTAGGGCTAACCATAGGCTATACCCTAATATTATCTAGGACGCGGCTAAGGGCAAGGTACTATTAATAGTGCTTCTATAACCTATTAAGAACACGTTCTAAACACGTTTTAATCTGCTTATATAGGATAAGAGGGATACGTTAGTAATAGGTATAGTAGCGGTAGCTTGTAGTGTTACTAGTATAGAATGTGTTTAGAACAGGTTTAGAACGCGTTGCAAAATCTTATAGCATAATATTTAGTTAACCTCGCTTAGCTAGCTAGTGGAGCTTGGCACGGCCTAACCCCATGCCAAATACGAGTTCACGCAGCGCTAATTCCATGGTTATATGAACTGCGCCCTCGCGCGACCGGCTCTCAGGCGACTGTGTGTTGCTCCAACCGGATCGCACGAGGACACACGCGAGGATGTCCTTGCACAAAGGTGTGTTCTCGACTCTTCATTAGTAACAAGGGATCTCTTAATAGGCATCGCATGACGTGCGCAAGAATAGAAGCATACCCCGAAGCAATGTCGTCACAGCTACCGTAGGTACCCGTACCGCATGTTGATGCAACGGACAACGAAATGAAGGCGCAGCGTTGCTGTTGTAATGCGGTGTAGTATATGCGTCTCATCGTCGCACACACCACGAGGCGGCCCTTTAATCGATAACACACAATGGGCGGCGGATAGGGATCGCACATCACTTGTTCCAGCCAGGAACAAGCAGGGAATGCGCCCACGACTTCAGGCCCCCCCGTGCCCGTACGTACAGGGGCTTGTCCTGTCATCACCACCCCAGCCATGACGGCTATTCTCTTGAAGCATCCGGCTTTGTATCCGCCGAGTCGACGGGAAGCCAGGCACAACGGGGCTCTGGCAGTGCACCCCCTGTGCCGGCAAAGGCCTCAGATCGAACACGCAATGCCTATCAAGAGAGACCGAGGCTGGCTGGCTGCCACCCATGTGCGCGATCAGAGTGTACCCAGGTGCCGGTTTGTGGCCGCCAG